ATTTACTCCAATGAAAAATGGAAAAACCTGATCACAGTGAATGAAGAGGAAAAATTATCTGTTTATAAAAAAAGAAAAAGTTCTGAAACTGCCTTCAGAGAAAAGAAACTTGATGTTGACATATATTTATGTGAAAATGAAAGTGGGGATAGACTGAATCTCTTTGAGTTTTTTTTTTTTTTGTACAGTGGAGTTATTTCTAAAACCTTGATTTCTGAGGTCATCTTTATTCCATTCTTCTCAAAAATATTTATCATTTAAGAAAATCTAAGTCAGTCTGCACTTGCACTTGCCTCTGTTCTGCAATTTTGAGAACCAAAATAAAATGGTCAGGGAAACCTTCTTTATTCCCAGCTTAGTTTTGTTTAGCACTTAACAAGCAGGTGCTGTACTATATTATCTTACCAGATGACTTGGAAGCATTGCAAACCTGCTGTGGTCCAAGAGAAACATATAACCATCAGCACCAAGATTAACCTAGCATGATGACACCTAGATTTATGTTGTACTTTACATTTTACTTAGTGTTTTCATTTACTGATGTCACTTTTCATAGCAACTTTGTGATGTGGGCAAACATTGCTATTCTTTTTTTATGTGAGGAAAAGTTGATATAAATTTTGAGGAGAGATTTACTTTACTGTTTTTTTTAGCCTCATTCTCTTTTCATTACTGTTCATTTGATTTTTTTTTAAATCTATGAAAAAGAGATCTTTTTAAAACATGCAAAACATGGTTAATCAGAATATTTTTAAATGAACCGGAAGAGAAGATTGCTTTCAAGGATAGACAATGTACTAACTATAAAGAACAAGAGCTGATATCTAGGTAGACTTGAGGTTTTGGAAATGGTTTTATTAAATAAAGGAATTAGTAAAGTGAATGTTGATTTATCATAGAGTGTAAGGTTTATTTTTGTTCATTAGCAAAAAAGTATAGCCTTCCTATCACTAGGAAGGTTAATTAAAGGTGGATGTACTTTAACTTCTTCACTCTCATTTCTAGTATGGCAGATTGTTTTTGTTTTTTGTTTTTGATTTGTGTGTGCCAGGTCCATACCTTTAGTGTAGATAGTTACCTCCTGAAACTGTTTTAATAGCTCTTCAAAAAGGTCTTCTATTTTGCTAAGTTTAAATCAAGTGACAGATTTTCATGGGAAGGTCACAAATGTCAAAAACTAAGTATAGTTGAGTTTATTTTTTAATCCTGTAATTTTGGAAAAAAGATGACCAAGAATTACTGCTTTCGCTTCCTACTAAAGCAAAATTAATTTCTGTTTTCAAGTGAATGGTTGGTTGCCTCATTTCTATCCCACTTAGATCAACTGATAAGAAATGAGTTGCTAGGCAGTTTGGCTGGTTTCTAATAAGGTACAACAATGATACCAAGTCTGTATTGATTCATGAGTTAAGTGTGCTATTTCTGAAAGTTTATTGTCAACCTGGAAAAGCTCACCTATTCTGAGATTTGTTTTTGAAATCAAGAACCACGTAGTATCTTTCAAAAGAGATTTGATATCTGTAGCATAGTTATGATTTTATTTTCCAGAAGAAACCTTGTACACAGGAAAAATATATTTGTCATCTATTAAGCTTTCAGGTTGAGGTATTCTGTGCTTGGTGTAGGATTAAAGATCACAAATTCTAATACTTAAAGAGGTAGGGTAGAAGACAGGAAATGTCTATTTTAAGAACCAGCTGAGGAAGCCTCAACAAATCACTATAGAATGTTACATAAATAGAAACACCCTGCCTGTATTTACAAACCCACTTGGCAGAATTTTAAGAAGTGCCCTCTGAGCAGACTGTACACTCCAGAATAATGACATTTTTTAAAAAGCTGGAAACCTAGCACAGTTGTTTGAATGATTTAAATTATTTATTGAAATATATTCAGCTTTTCATAGGAAAAAAAAAAGCCACTAAATTTCAATTAACTATTTTCAGTTTAAGGGTATGTTTTTGTGTTTACTATATATCAGAAAACAAGTTATTCTTCTTTAACCATTAACTAAAACTGAACTAGTAATAGAGGTTGCAGAGGGCAGAGTATTCAAACCAACATTTAACAACCCTTGTTTGAAAAGTGTTTTGTCATACATTGGGATGAATGCTGGGAAAATAAAACCTAACCAGTATCCCTCCCACCTCTCAGGAAACAGGTAAAGGAGTTTATTTACTGTTCCTCTTCTTCACGTGAAATATTTGTTCATTTTACTGACTTTCAGCACATTTATTCTAGGCAATAACCTCGTCTATTAATATTACACCTTACAGAGAAAATAAATGCTGGCAGATGAAGGACATTGATTAAGTACCTGTCTTTAACTTCTCCCTATATGTTGATTGTCTTTGCTGTCTTTCCTAAGTACTTAAACATTTGCTTCTGGATTCCAGACTCATTATCATTGAATTTCTTTAGTATTTTTAACTTCTCCTTTTCTTAGTGACTTCTTCATTTCAGCGTTTAAATGTTTTACTTTCACCTTTAAAAAAAAAAAAGCTCTTACTCTTCCCTTTTGCAACCAAATTTCTCAGATTGTATTATATATCATAATTCATCATTTCTGCTCACAACACAGGCCACTCTTACTTTTCCTCCTTGCCCCACTGATCTACCAGAGTCAGTTGCACTGTCCTCATCATTGGCCTCCTGGGTGCTCAGCATTTATTGAGTGAAAGTAATGCATGTTTCAATCCTTACCTTAAATTTTTGGCAGCATTGTTGGGGTGGAATTTTCCTTGAAATACTTTTTTCCTAAATTCTGCATCATTTTACAGTTTATTAAATGCTAAGATTCCTCAATATATTGGTCACAGTTTTTTCTTCATGGTCACCATCTGTTTACTTACATGACCTTATTTACCAAACATCTTGAAAACTCATTTTTATCACCAGCTTAAGCATTGTATGTATATAGCCTTTGGTACTGATTTCTCCACTTCAGAGCTTAAGTGAAAAAAAAAAAAAGGTTAAAATTTTGAGACCTTGTTACATACCAAGCAAGGAGCTAAGCACTTTTATTATCTCATTTGGTTCTTGGATAATAATAATAAATTAAAAGCAGCGTAGCTCTTTTCCTGATAATTTCCCTGCCTTTACAATAAAACAGTTCTCAGTCTTTATTTAGTAGGCATCAGAATCACCTAGAGTGTTATAAAATGCAGATTTCTGCGCCCCGCCTCCAAAGTATCTGATCCAGTAGGTTGGGATGGGACCTGAAACTATTTCTGTTTCTAGCAAGTTGCCAGATAATGCTGATGCTGCTGATTTAGGAGCTATACTTTGAGAACCACTATGTTAGAGAAGCAAAATAACGTGCTTCACGACTCACACACCTGGGATGTGACAGAGCTGAGACCAGGTCTCAGGCAGTATCTAGAGCTTATCCAAACTACCTCTTAAGGTCTGTCAGACTAAATATCTTAACTACCTAAAATTGGTCCTCTTTCAGAGTTCCCTGACTGCCATTGGTATAAGATGGAAACTTCGCTCCTGCCTTCAAACACTACCTCTCCCATTTTCAGTCTTACCAAGCACTTATTAGTTCTGCTTCAAACAACCTACTTTCCTCCCATTTGCCACTACAATCAACCAAGTCAAGGACACCATCAGTTCTCAACTGAATTTCTATAAGAGCTTTCTAACTAGTCTCCCTATCTCCTTTTCCTCCTTCAATTCATTCATATGATACCAGGAATAGTTTTTTTAACGCCATTTTAAAAATCATTTTACTACTTTTAAGAGTAAAGGCCAAAATCCTCACCATAATCTGTAGCACTCTATGACCTGTCTATGCCTGCTTGAGGATCTCCTATTGTGCCATTATGATGTAATCCATCTGGTCTCTTAGAACATAAGTGCTAGGTCTATTAAGTGATTTGGGGTCTTAAAACTATGCACTAGAACCATTACTGAGTGGCATTCTATTTCATTTGCCCACCAATTTTTTGAATTCAATACCTGCTTATGTAAACAGAATTTTTTGAAAATTTTCCTTTATTATTTTAATCTTGGTGTTGGGAAGCCAGAGTGGTGGAGGTGGTAATATCAAACATGAGTCTTAAGTGACAGGGAGATGACAGATTGTCCATAGAAAGTGGCATTTTAAAAATGTTTTTCACATATATTTGAGAGAGTAGATAGTACCAATGAGATGATGCTAGATTCACTAGTAGAAACCCAAATATTTGGACCTTGTATTCTAAACTAAGGAATTTGAGGGCAAGCCTAAAAGCTCTGTTGAACTGTTGAAGATTTAGGATTCATGTTTCAGAAGTATGAGCATTATGTTTTGAAGCAAGGATACCAAGAAACTATTTTAGTAATTCACTAATCCAAGGGAACAATGATGGGTACCTCTGAATTAAGGCAGTGATAATGAAATAGAAGGGATGGAACAGATTTAAAAGAAATTAACAGATGGAACCAAAAGCATTCATCTCATTAGTATGTATTTTGTTTTAAGCTGCCTCTACATCCTTTCCATATTTTAAGATTAAGGAATTAATCTTCTCTGAAATCTTCCTTTACTATTCTAGCTTTAATTGGTCTTTTTCACTTCTGAATCAATACAGAAACAGTAACGTTTTATACATGTGCTTAGTAACAGTAGCAGCTGTCATTGGGAGCTAAACACTGTAATTTGTAACACTTGACTTGGATTATCTGACTTGATTTTTTTAAACCAAATCTGAACTATTTGGAAGCATATGAGGAAATTGAGGCACATGCTCACATAGCCAGTAACCTAATTCACCCTGCCTCTTAAAGCTTATTCCTATTCAGTACACTGTTCTTACTCGAGTGTGTGCTTGTTCTTGTGGCTGAAAACCATGTCTGATTTTGTGCCTTAATCGCGTTAAGCATGTAGTAGGTATTATAACTTGCAGATAGATAATTTTCTATTTAGTCCGCATAAGAAACTACCAAGCAGGGAGTGGTTGGTGATGGTTATAGTGTGGTTGCAAGTAACAGATTATTGTACATCTCCTTTTCAGATCTGGATGGTGCTCTACTCTCAGGGCCAGATTGTGATAGGAATGTGAATACAAATTTATTGGCAGAAGCCGGCTCCAGTCAGGATGGAGGTGATGCTGGTAGGTATAGTAGGATTTACAAAAGTACAGTAAGAGTATGTTTGAGAGGATTTGAAGATTGGGAAGTGATTGTGTACATGTTTAAGGACCTATTGCAGTTTCTCTCCCTTAAGGGAGAGTATTATATGAAAATACTTTGGATCCATGGTAGCTATGTTTATGATAAGACTTTGGAAACCTGGTAAATACAAATGGATGGGTGTTTCTTACTGTTTAGGAGAGCCATTTATTTAGAGCTTTTCAAATTCTTAAGTACCAAAAGTAATTAAGTTAATAGGGTTGGTGGCTTCCTGCTAGTATATACGTAGGATGAAAATGGTAATTATCCAGTTGGCTGATTAACGTATTTTAATTGACTTTGATGTAAAATAATAGTATGGTAATCTAAAGAAAACGTTAATTCTATAGTAGTGATGTTTCTGTCAGTTGTACTTCGGGAGAAGTATCCTTCCCATAGAGACAGAGAATCCATAAATATTCCAGAGAACAAAGTAAGTATAAAGAAGGGGGAAAACTTGCTTTAGAGAAAAATGCCAAGCTAATAAATACATAATGACAGAAATAAAAAATACCCCACAGGAAGTAATTCAATATCATCCATGGAGGGACACCTGCGTGGCTCAGAGCATCTGCCTTCAGCTCAGGGAGTGATCCTGGAGTTCCAGGGTCGAGTCCCACATTGGGCTTCCTGCAGGGAGCCTGCTTCTCTGCCTGTCTCTCTGTCTGTCTCATGAATAAATAAAAAATCTTCTAAAAAATCATCCATGGATATTAAGCCACTGTTGATCGGCTATCCCACAATGCAAAAGGCTGTTTTAATATATTCACATGGTTTCCCTATCATCCCAGATAACTTCAGTTAAACAAAGAGGAAAAGATTTCTTTGTAATGAAAGCAGCAGAGATACCATGCCTCTGCATGTAATGCACTAGCCAGCACAAAATATCACCTACATAGTATACTTGCCAAAATGCATGGTCAATCTTGATGACTGAGTTCTAAAATGACTAAAGGGGCATATGAGGGACACCCGGGTGGCTCCACGGTTAAGCGTCTGCTTTTGGCTTAGGGCATGATCCTGGAGTCCCAGGATCGAATTCCCAATCAGGCTTCCTTCAGGGACCCTGCTTCTCTCTCTGCCTTTCTCTGTCTCTCTGTCACTCATGAATAAATAAAATCTTTAAAAAGGGAGAGGGGGACATTTGAAGAACAGTTTGGAATTTGTGTAGTATGGGTTAAATAATAGTTTGACAGTTTTAAATTTCGTGGATATGATAAAGTACTATGGTTATGTAGGAGAAGGTTCTAGAAAATAAATGCTATATTGAGAGGTAAAGTGATGAGTAAATAATACATAAAAAAGTGTGTGTTCACAGAGAAAGTACATGTGTCAAAATTAACATTTGTCAAAGGCACACAAAAGGAATATGGATGTTCATTGATTCAACTTCTCCATAGCATTGGAATTCCTTAAATTAATGGGCAGGGGGTGGCTAGAAGTACTCAAGCTTTCAGAAGCTTCTGAATATAATATGTATGCACTGACCAAAATTAAGCCCTAATTATGAAGAAAAGAAATTGCCTTAAGGTGGTTTCTCCCAACTGTTGAAAAGAATTTACAAAAAGTTTTGAAATGAGCAGTTAACAGAGGGGTTGAATTTTGAAGACTTTTTCCTTGTACAAAAAATTGCTAATGGTATAAGTATTTTATATTTGGTTTAGAAATATGGTTGAAGAGTGGTCTTTGTGAGTTGTACAATAGATTATTTTTACCATAAGAATTTTTGTATCAGCTGTAAAGAATGAGAACAATGAAGTAGGGGTAGAGATTTAATATTTTTATTGAAAACTCAATTACTTAAGAGCAAGAAAGCTAACAAGCAGTGGCGGGGCAGAGGGAGAAGCAGGCAACTGAGCAGCAGGGAGCCAGATGTGGGGCTCAATCCCAGGACCCCAAGATCATGACCTGAACTGAAGGCAGTTGCTTAACCGACTGAGCCACCCAGGTGCCCCATACTGATTAGTCTTAAGACAAGATTATGTGATTGTTTTCGGGGCAGTGCAGAGCCTCTCCTGTTCCAAAGCTGGGCTTCAGGGTGGTAGTCTCAAGTGATAGAATAATTAAAAGTAACTATTAAGAGAGTTCTGTTTTGAATATATTTGAAATATAGTATAAAAAAGAAGTTTTGGGACACCTGAGTGGCTCAGTTTAAGTGTCTGCCTTTGGCTCAGGTCGCAAGATCCCGGGATCCTGGGATAGAAATCCACATCGGGCTTTTCTGCTCAGTGGGCAGCCTGCTTCTCCCTTTTCCTCTGCTTGTGCTGTCCTCTCTCAAAATAAATAAAATCTTAAAAAAAAGTGTCATGTGGCCTCCATGCACTATTAAATATTGACATTTATTTTACCAAATTTTTCTCTCCTCTGGTAGTATTTTAAATTTTAGTTTTTCTGTTTAAGATGCCTGCAATTAGAGTATTACAATTAGGATAATAAAGTATGAAGACATCTCGGCTTTAGATTACAATGTAGAGATTTTTAGCCAGCTATTTATAGTAAGCTGTTCTATCATAATATTGCATAGATATAATAAATTTTATGTCCTATGTTGTTTTATTCTAATAAGAAATATCTTTATTACCATAATTACATTAAAATCACTTTTCTATTAGGTACTTCACATGATTTCAAGTATAGCTTGATGCCTGGCCCTTCAAGTGATTTCAAGTATGGACTGCTACCAGGTACTTCAAATGATTTCAAGTATGGATTGATACCAGGTGCTTCAAACGATTTCAAGTATGGATTATTGCCCGAATCTTGGCCAAAACAAGAAACTTGGGAAAATGGCAAGTATTAGTCAACTAAACATCTGCAGAATTTTAAAATGATTTTTCACAATTAAAAGCTTCCATGTTCTGGGTCTTAAAAAAAAATTAAAATACTGGTAGCCCTACAATCCCTATTCTCAGGGACAAACTTTTGATAGCAAGTTTTCTGTTTAATATATAATTGCTTTTGTGTGTGTGTGTGTTTTTATTTTCAAAGGTGAATCATCTCTAATCATGAACAAGTTAAAATGCCCTCATTGTAGCTATGTAGCCAAATACAGACGAACACTAAAAAGGCATTTGCTCATTCATACGGGAGTCAGATCATTTAGCTGTGATATTTGTGGAAAACTGTTTACTCGCAGAGAACATGTGAAAAGACATTCCCTGGTAAGTAACTTTAAATATAACTGATCTTTAAGATAAACTGTATGTTAGTGAAGTTTAAGGTATTTTAACATTGTTAACCTAAAATTTAGAGAACTTGGATTATTAAGCAAATTGTTTTAAACAAAGAATATGATTTATGAACTGAGCTTCATATAGAAAACCAAGGGTATACATTCAACCATTGTTAAACAGGTGGTTTAATTTGAATGGTTCAAATGCATTATTGTCTATACTGTCCTTATATTGGATTTCTCCCCCTTCAATTAGGTGCATAAAAAGGATAAAAAATACAAATGTATGGTGTGTAAGAAGATCTTCATGTTAGCAGCCAGTGTTGGAATAAGACATGGATCTCGACGCTATGGTGTTTGTGTAGACTGTGCAGATAAATCACAACCAGGAGGGCAAGAAGGTGTAGATCAGGGACAGGACACAGATTTCCCTCGGGATGAAGAATATGAGGAGAATGAAGTGGGAGAAGCTGACGAAGAGCTGGTTGATGATGGAGAAGATCAGAATGATCCATCTCGATGGGATGAATCAGGAGATGTTTGTATGTCTCTAGATGATTAACTGACCTATACTCCTCAAGGATGCTGCATTTGGACATAATATGAATCGACAATTTGAATTGTTGAACTTGAAGGCTTGCAAAATATGGTACATGCTGGATGGTAGTTATGTTGCTGTGAAAACTGTAGGGTCAAAAAGCCTTATAGCAAAAAAATTTTTTTTTATATTTGCACAGGACTGTACAGCAAACAACCTTGTGGTTGGATTACATGGAGTCCCCACATCTTCAGTCAGTTATCAAAGTAAAAATATTTTTTATTTATAGGATATACAATAACTATTTGGGTCCTACGAATATATAGTACCTATCCTTAAAGAGCTTACATTCATGTGCCACTTTAACATGAATGAAGAAAATCCATTTATAAGACTACAGTGACAGCTGACCCAATTACTCTGTCCATCAAACCACTCAGGCTAGTTTGTACTAGTAGAGTTTTGTTTCTATTTTTATTTTTATTAATTTTATTTTTTTTAATACAGATTTTCAGTGAGGGGCCTTTTCAACCCCATTGGTTCTACTTTTCTGTATTTTTCCATTTTAATTTGCTTCATAACTTAAACCAAGTATCCTCTAGTCTTAGGTATTATTTCTCAATTTTGTGCTGATGGGCATGTTTATAAGAACTGGAGAGGTAATTTATTGGAATGAACTAACTGACTTCCTCCATTCCCCCTTTCCTTTTTGACATGAATTTTACTACTTCACAAATGAAGAAATGATGTTACAAAGTTAACGTGGCGAAGTTGACAAATACCACTAAAATGATTATGATTTAGAAGTAACTTTCTCCTGCTGCTCTAATCTGAAATGGTTATTATATGACGTCTTCTGACATGGTATTCGGTTTTGAGTATCTGCTACTTTGGCACTATTCTTGTTTGCCTCTTTTTATTTTTGCCAGTGTACTATACCTCAGTCCTATTTGAAAAGAGAAATCTAATCAAAAGAAAAGTCATAGAAACAATAAGTAAAATGATTTGTTTCGTAATTTGACCTCCATGTCCAGTTTGGTTAGCTTGTTATGCAATATAAGTGAAATATCAGGTTTTTACTCCTGTGCCCTTTTTACCATTAAAAATAACACAAAAAGTGAATTCTCTTTTGTTTGATACTTACCGGGATATTGAGTGTTTTGAAATTATGATAGATAACTATTTTTTCAATTCCTCAAAGTTACTACATCTTCATATATAGTCTTTCTGGTAGTCACTATGATTCAACAGTCTGCAAAAAATCTTACAAAATAAAACAGGCTTTATGATTGTTCTGTTGACTAAAATCCTTCAGGGTACAAGGGGTGATATAAAATTGAAGTTATATTTATTTAGTCTCCTGACAGATGAATTAGCTGATTGTTGAACTCACAGCAGCATTCACAATTAAAATTAACATGCATGACATTTATCAGGAACATTGTATATTATATAAGATTGAGGGATATCATATTTTCAGCTTTCTTTTAAAAAGAAATTTAGTATATTTTCCTATTTTATATCAGGTCACTAAATTGTGCTATTTGTGTGGAAAAATTGCGAAGTACACTTTGACAGACATAATCCTTTTGGTGCTCCATCTGATCAAAGTTGAAGGTTGATTTATTTTTTTTTTTTAAGAGACAAGTTTTCTCGTCTCCAATTTCGGTAGTATAATGGTTTAATGTTAGACATTGTTTCTGCTTGGATAAATCAAAGATATAAAGTACAGTTACAATGGTTAGATACATCTTTTGTCATCTAAACTTTATTGTAGTTTCTACATAACTGTAAAACTGACATGAATAGTTTGGTTTGATTTTTGTTTAAGACTGAAGAGTACATCTTATTCTCAGTGTTCTAGACAAATGAGTATAATGTAATTCTGGTGGGGTCCAAAGTAGACGTTAGTTGGGCAAAGATACTATGAATGAAAAAGTATTTTAAACGTAAAATGTTCTGCTTTGTGAATATGTAAGTATAGTATAAAGATTTCTTTCGTCCCATTTATCCCCCTCCTTTAAAATAAACCATAGTTTACAATTGGTAGATCTGTCTATATATAAATATATATTAAAGAGAAAAGATATATATCTGAAAATCACCTAAATCTGCTTTATTAGACTACAGTTCACTTATTGCATAGAAACTGGACTTGGCTTTACATTCTTAATGTACTTTTACTTTTCCTCAAGATATGAACTTAACTCTCTTTAAACTGAATTTTCTTTTACTACTTAAATCATTTATGTATATCTGGTAAATTATGACCAAATTTTTGTTAGATTGCATACAGTAAATTGAAATACACACTTGGTACACTACGGGATTGTTGTGCTTTTGTTTTTGGTTTTAGTTGGAAATAAGGTTTGATGTAGATGGCTTGTTACTGTTAATTTAAAATATTCTATAATTGTCCATTACCTTTTATGTTGTGTTGTGACAGATTTGGCTATATTTTTAGTCAACTGAAATATGATACTTTAAAAGTTTGTTTTTAGAAAGGTAATCCAAAGGAATAATGTTTATACTCTGAATATATTAGCCTCAGCCTATATAAAAATCTCTTCTTTAAAGTAAGCATTTTACCAGAAACAGAATTGACAGATTTTTCTACTTGCTGACTGCCTAACTTATTTTGTTTCATGATCTCAAGGGACTGCCTTTTCCCTTCTAGGTCTTTTTTTTAAAAATAGTTTTAGTACTAAGGTATACTACTGGACGTTTCTATTTTTTTTTTAAGTATATTCTTTTTCTGACTTACAGTACAATTTCAGGAAGTTGATAGATAGTAAGAACTTATGATTGGTCTCAGAGGTGACAATGATATACTCATAATTTTGTCTGTGGAGCCTTGGCAGAATTATGTGTCACACATTTGCTGAATTTTTCTCTTGTAACTTATATTTTAAATGAAACCTATTTTAGAGCTTGTAATTTTAATGAAGAAGAATATAAACTTTTTCTATTCACTCTAGTAACAGACCCTCTCATCCAAACTAAGATCATGTATTCTTAGGCTTCTCAGAGACAGTTACTTCCATATGGTCCCCGCTTTGTCATTATTATCGGCCCTCATTTTTCATATTCACTAGATATTTTGCTCATTTTAGCACCCTAGCAATTAAGAGCTTAAAAAAATGTAGGAAAGGGAAACTGAACACTAATGAATAGCCTTGAAATTTGGTGGGGGGAGGAAACACTAGGTGGGTTTGGCAGAGCCGTCCTGATGGAGAAGAGTAAGATGAAGGAGTTAATTCACGTAAAGCGCTTCAAACACTGTCTGGTACATAATAGAGGCCTAATACATCCTAGTTTAATAGTGGATGCAAACCAAGAGGAAAGGGGGAGAAAACAAAATGAAAGGATCAGGGTTGGGAAATCTATATTCATACAATAAAGTGTAAAATGCCTGAAGATGACTGGAGTAGTATAACATGGGGAAAAGTGTGATGGAAGAGGAGTTTGAAAATATCCTAAATTTCAAAACTTTGGTAAACTTTATATTTTTAGGATTTTTGTCAATTTAAAGTTTATTTTTCTGAATAATATTCCAAAAGCTACTTTTTTCCCCCAGTGCCTACATGTGCCATTTGCGCTTTACATTTTATCTAATTCCCAATAAGGTAGGTGCTACTGTCTCCATTTTATGGAAGAGAAAGGCTCCAAGAGATTTGCATAATGTAACTTGCCCAATATAACACAGCTACTAAGTGGTAGAGCTGGGTTTTGACCAAATTTGATTTTGAATGAAGCCCATGCTCTTTTTATGGGGCTCTATTAACTGCCTCATTGAACAACTTTTATAGAATTTCAGTGCTTTAAAGGAGTTTGTGTATGGAGACCTATTTTCCCTGTAAACCATCTTTGTTAGGAATTTGAGCGCCTCATCTTTCGTTCCCTAAATATCCTTATCACTCTTTTCCTCTGAGTACAGCAGTTTTGTCACCTGACTATAAATAAGATACCTGACCTCAGTGTAGCACATGCTATTAACTGGCCGTGGAGTTTTTATTTTTGAAAGGATGGTTTTAAAGTGAAGAACTTGATGTGAACCCCAGTTTTTGTGCCGTTCAGTCACCCAGATCCTTAAACTTAACTATGATACATAATATATGTGCTTAGAACTAACAGGTGTTTTTTTGTAGTCACTTTAGGATTTAAAGTGGAAGGTTTTTTTCCCTGCTGTATCCCTGCTTTCAAGTGAAGTCGAACAGTTTTAGATAGTTTAAAATGTGTTAGGGATAAGCACACTTTACAAGTTGTTTTTTAGCCCTGGATTTTATGACATTGGGTACTTAATTTGGAGTACACTGGCTATTGAGAACAAGATTTTGGGTTTAGGGGAGAGGGATGGTTGAGGCCATCATGAAATGGGAGAATCAGCATTTTAAACACTGTAAACCTAAAAGAACGCTTTCTTCTGCCTGCTGTTTGTAAAAGCTCTTTGGGAAGATCTTTTACGAAGACCAATTTTTTTAAATGTAATTTACCTACCTAGTATAAGTGTCCTAAGACATGTATGTAAACTTCCAAACCTGTTTTGTCTGTGTATTTAGAAAATACACAAGAATCTTTATCAAACCTAAAAATATAAACTTGTGAGCACTAAACTTGCTTCTGGCTTTGTGAATTTTGTTGACTCTGACATTTAATTCAGATTTCTTTGCATTGAAAGTGTACTGATTTAGACTAATTGGGGTAGGGGGGAACACCTTTGTAAACTTTGACTTGTGTATAATTCAGATATTTTTGTACTTAAGGTTTACGAGTTTGAATTATAGAGTATGAGGGCTTTTGGCCTTTTATGTTTTCTTTATTTTAATGAAGACATAAATGACTCAAAACTACCTCCTAGTGGTGCTTGGAGAGCTGCTTTAATAGATAGCAGTGATTTGTGATCAGTAATTCATCTATCTTTTCATCTTTATTTTCTACAGGTTTTAGTAAACAAAATATTTCCCCTCTAGTTTACATGTGTGCAAAATTTTGGAAGTGGTTTGAAAAGCAAAGGTAGGGCCACCTGGGTGGCTCAGCGGTTGAACATCTGTCTTGGGCTCAGGGCGTGATCCTGGGGTCCTGGGATCGAGTCCCGCATCGGGCTCCCCAACAGGGAGCCTGCTTCTCCCTCTGCCTGTGTCTCTCATGAATGAATAAATGTATGTTTAAAAAAAAAAGGTAAGCTACTTCATCCCATATTTACTGCATATTAGCAGGCTAATGAATTATAAGTATGTTTCAAGTCTTTGAAACTTTAATAATACAGAATACATTTTTCTGTTTTTTTTTTTTCTTTTAGTAATTTGTGGTGGTGGCAGTAATAGAACAAAGGAAATCATAGAAATGACTAGACACTTTTACTAAAGAAGTGAGTCGTGTTTGGAGAAGGCTGCCCATGTAACACATAAGGCACAGGGTCTTACTTTATTTTTTATTTTTTAAAGATTTGATATATTTATTCATGAGAGGGACACACACAGAGAGGCAGAGACACAGGCAGAAGGAGAAGCAGGCTCCATGCAGGGAGCCTGACACAGGACTCGATCCCGGGTCCCCAGGATCAGGCCTTCGACCAAAGGCAGGTGCTAAACCGCTGAGCCACCTGGGCTGCCCAGCACAGTGTCTTAAAATTGTAAAAACTGTCACTTGGCAGAATAATTAGATACGGGACACCCGGCTGGCTCAGTGTTTTGAGTGCCCACCTTCGGCTCAGGTCCTGATCCCAGGGGCGTGGGATCAACTCCCACGTCGGGCTCCCCAGGGGGAGCCTGCTTCTCCCTCTGCCTGTGTCTCTGTCTCTGTGTGTCTCATGAATAAAGTCTTTAAAAAATTAGATATATTCTCTATGGCTTTGAGAGGTAAGGATTTGGACCATTTGGCTCAAGATTAAAAAAGCAGCTTTTAATAATTATCAAAAGATGAAATGTGATTGGGAAAGAAACCTAGTCCCCTATTGTTGAAGTATTCTAGAGAAAGTGAAAGATTACCTGACAAGCATTTTGGCTAAGATAATACAGACCAAACATTTCTACCTAATAAACGTGTTTTTTTGGCTTTGTGTGTGTGTGTGTGTGTGTGGCTGTGTAGGTTTTTGGACCATTGTAGTTAACTAGGTTTTTGTTTTGCTTAGCAATAACATTGACAAAATCATGCATAAATTTGACTCCAAAAAAGGACACTGGAAATTTAGAAATGATGTTTAGCTTTATGGACCAATTTTTGGAAGGTGGTGTAGGAAGTTAGATTACTGGATCCATGGTTAGATGAGAAAATTAAAGGTCCTTCAGACCTTAGTCTTTGTCATAACTTTTTCTGAATTTTGAGCTAAAGAAGGAAATTAAAAAATGAACAGGAAATATATTCATTAAATTGAATCTTAAAAAATAGGTTGTATGACTGCACGGTGCCTCCTTTATATGCTATTGATACCATACTTGTGACTGCCAGCTAGATACTTTTTTCCAACACAGCCAAAGTTGGGCAATAAGAAATTACTATCATCCAAGCATATGTTATGTTTTATAATATTAGTGAAAGATAATCTTAGCCCGCTGTCTCAATAGTCAGTAAGAAAACAAAATGTTGCAAGATATTTGCAGAATGTTTCTGGTTGAAAAATTTTGAAAGAGCAATAAGGAATTGATTCCCCAGAGAGGTTACTACGGTGACTTTTACAATCCGTTTTGGGATCTAGGACTTCTGAACTTTCATTTCTTTACCTGTATCAAACTTGTTCAATAAGTGATTTAAGATTTGGGAAAACATATGTTGTTCGCTAAATGACTATTAAAAGACATCAACTTTTTAAGGATATTGCTAGTATCTAGTGGCATATAGTTAACACGCTAATTTGGTTTACAAGCAGTTTGTAGCCAAGCACAGAGTATGGAGGAGCCCTCGGGACTTTCCTCAGTACTCCCCCAGGTGACTGTATCTGAAGACAGAATGACCAAACACCAACCTATAGCAAATATTACTATAGAAGTCTCAGTGCAAGTAGCCTTTTGATTTTTTTTTTTAACACCATCCACATAACTTGGAATACTTAGTGACAAGGTTTAAGTATTAGCCGTTTGCTACAAAATGTTTTGTTTGGAAATAATG